TAAACAAATTGATTTTGTTATTAGCGAATAATTTTGTTTAAAGAAGATGAAACTTTTAAATACTTATTATTTTATTTATTTAGTTTTTCTTAGTCGAAACTAATTAATTTATCATAAAGTTACTTTTCAAGTACATTGAATTCAAGCTCCTTATATACAATTCAATTAATTAGTAATTCTAATATTTCAAATTGAAATTTCCGTTCAATATTCAAAAGTTATTTCATAATATTTCAAAATTGAAACGATATTTCAAAATTGCGCTAATATCTAATATTTCAAAATTGAAATATTGGAAAGACGATTCTTCCTTAATAAAGTTAAATAAATTATGGCGTTATAAAAATAAAAATAAAACATATTACGAAAGTAGATGTAATACAGATAAAATAATAAAATAAAATAATACATAATAAAAATGAAGAATTTCGGAATTAGTTAAATTCGACCAAAAGAGCATCCAAATCTAATTCTGGTGACAATAGTAAAAATAATTTTTATTATCATGTGGAATGAATCACTTTTTTTTCTAAATACTATACTTCTACTGTAATTTTTTGTGACCAAAAAAAAAGGTTTAAGTAATATTAATATTTACAAATAAATTCATACATATGCCGCTATTTTATCATCATCATCATCATCATTCACTCCACTCACTCACTGCGATGTTTAACCTAAAATCTTGTTTAGTTTGAAGTTGATGCAAATTAAGTGAAGGTGCACATCATTAATTTTCACTGTCACCAAATTCTATTACACGTTTATCAAGGATATTTGAATATATATAATTTATTTCGTAATTATTTTGTTATTTTGAATATAATCATTTGCTATGAATGATTATCGATTGATAACCAAAAGTATTAACTTATTTATAACTTATCCTACTATATAACAAACATTTTTTCAAAGATAATAAAGATAGGGAATTTGCAGAAAAATTTTCCTAATACTTCAATTGTATAAATCATTTTTAAAATGTCATAATATTTTTACACCTGGTAAAAAATGATGGTAATTTTTTTGATTTGTATGATGATATAATTTATTAATAATTTTTTGATATAGCTTGAAATAAACAATCAAATTGATGATGTCCAAAAAAGAAAATTTATCAATTAAAGAACAAGAAAAAATTAATAACAGTTTGTTAAAAATTTATACAAATATCTGAAATAATGAGCATTCAAAATAACTACAAGCACCCGAAATAATTACAAGCACTCGAAATAATATTCGAAATTTGTAATTTTTGGGATTTACGAATATTCGAATATGGAGTTATAATTACCGTTAGGAACCCTAATCTTGACAAGGATCTTATAATCACCCAGCAATGATCTGCTCACGTTCTGATTTCAATTAAAATATTTATAAACTAAAAGACACATTATATCAAAAAGTAAAAATACATATACCGTATATCAATACAAACAAAAAATAGTATCTCTGGTTAGTTATAACAATTCTTCTTTAGGAGGCTCGCGCTTTGTCATCTTGGACTCAAATAGATTGTTTTCCCAAAAAAAAAATCAATCGTGTCAACAAAAAAAAACTTTGTCCAACACCACGTGCCAATAATAATAATAAATAATTAATGACGCGTTTGTCGATCAAATAAAAGTTTCTTTTTTTTTTATTGATGTCTACTAAATCTAAAACAAAAAGAAAAAGAAGTAAAGAATTCGTTCCCGATGTTGCTGGGTAAGTGTTTATCATAAGAATGGTGGTGGTGGTGGTTGCCGCTTGTCATCACTCTAGTTATTTAAAAGAATAATGTGGTCATTGCGGCTGATATTAAATTTTCTTTTGTATTTGATTAGCACGACTTCCCTAAAAAACACACCCATTAACATTCGAAATAACACATTTAGACGGCTATCAAAGGTTCATCACATTAGCTACAATCTTTCATTTCCAGACGATACGGTAAACGAGCTAGATGGCTTATTAGAAACTATTTCTGGTAAGCTTGAAATATACCTACAGTAATTCCCCGTTTCACTATGTGTCACCAATCAGGATTTTCGTGTAATAAATTCAAAAAAATAAAAAATTCCGATTTGTATGTACGCGTTATAATGAATTTATACATAATCATAAAATAATTTATTTAATATATTGGAAGAGGAATATTGAGAATGAGTATTTAGAATATTTATTTAATATATTGTGTATTAACATTAGTACATTGTGCATGAATTTACACACATAATGTCAAATAGAATTGCCATTTATTTATAAAATATACAATACAGCATCGATGAATATATAAACACATTATTACAAAGCATTGTTGTAATTTATATTGACATTTATTATCACCTTTTATGATGATATTTGGCATAGAATCATCATCATTAAATTTTCTTCAATAAATAACTCATCACTACCTGACTTTTTTTTGGTTGGAAGTTTGAAAGGTTTCTTTAAAACATCATTATTTATTTTTTCACTAATTTTTGAATCTAAGGTTTTCCTTATAGATGGGTGATTACTGATTTTGCGAGCGTGCAATCCGAGTTTCCTATTTAATAGGTTATTTATAGCTCAACACACAGCCTACTCGCTGACTTACGG